CTCTGCACCTGGCCGGAACTGAATGGGAGGAATCTCTCTTCGTGGTGATGAAGGATTGGACCATGTGATGGACTTGTGGGTGTTGAGGCAGGATCTTGAACTTTCAACTAGATGGAAAAACCTGGAAGCTTTCAGATTCGGGTTTTCCCAGATGTGCCAACATTACATCTCTAATAAATTGTAACTTTGAGGAAACACAAGCCTTGGGAATTTTCTTTTGTTGGGGGTGTTTTTTGGAACCCTAACATTAATATCAAGATGATGTACTTTTTCATTTTTGATTTAGCAAGATGTGAAGCATTCATTATTTACTGGGGCTGTAGAGAGTTCCCACATAAATCTTGACTATTTTTCCTTTTTCATCCCCTGAGCCTTTGCTTATCTGTCTCTGATTGGGTTGGTTCATATTGATTTGGCTTTATCTCCCATTTGAGGGTCAGGAGACAGATTCTGCCTATCTTGCGGAATCCTCCTAAGGTGGTAAATTAGTTTATGCAGTACTTTTGAAAAATGGAAAACCTGAACTGGAACCTTTAAGAAAAATGCTGTGTCAGTTCTCTGGCCTCCACCTTTGGAAATAAGTACAGTCTATTCTCTCACCAGGTTGTTGGCTCAATGCCCACAGCTGGAAGTGCTGGATCTGTTCCTGAAAAGCTGAACCTGTTCCCTGAGCCGGACAGCAAGGCTGAAGAGACGGGGAAGAAGCAGCTCTCCAAGGATTCCATCCTCTCTTTATATGGCTCCCACACCCCACAGATCCCCACACAAGGTATGCACCCCACCTGTCATGGGAGACACACCTGTTGGGCTTTTAATACTCAAGATTAAATTCATAATATGCTCACTGCTTTATAAGTAAGACGTTGGCAACATAAAGTTGTATTATGTGGAGCAATAGGTGAGTAGCCATTCCAGGATAGCAGATTCTTATTGAGAGATCTGATTTAGATATGTGGATTTGTTGGAGGAGTTTTCATGAATGCTCTCTTTGATTTTTCTAGTATGCTAGGAATACATCAGAAAAATAACCTGGTTATTGTGGGACGCTGGCATGCAAGAATTTTAGTTCAAAAGCACTCCAGACTTAAAAGCGGAACTGATTTAATTCTGGTGAACCATCAATGTATCTGGAATTGCAGTAAAACTTTTAAAATAAGCAAGCAAACATTGTGGACTCCAATACAGGGGTGAAATGCTACCAGTTAGGGCCAGTTCGCCTGAACCGGTAGTAAAAAATTCTGCTGGTTCAGGCGAACCAGTAGTCAGCTGTTCGACAATCAGCTGTGCTGCACGATTTATATTCACTATAAATCGCACAGCACAGCTGATCGTTGGGATTTTTTTTTTTTTAACTTTTAGCAATTTTTTACTACCAGTTTCGGCGAAAGAGTAGTTTCAAAAATGTTTTTAAAAAAGTTCTGATGATGACACGGCACAGCTGATCGTTGCCCAGCTGATCGTCAAAACTCTGGCTTTCTAGCAAATGTAAATTGTATGTCACAGCTGTTCCACCCCCCTCACTGTTCTACTTACCTTTGCAGACTCAGAAAAAGCTTATTAGCGCCTGTAGTGTGCATGCACGGGAAGCACCTGTTCACAAACCGGTAGCAGACTTCAGAGCATCTCACCCCTGCTCCAATAGGTCCACTTCCATAGCTCATTTTTCAAGGGTAAAATAGGTGTGATGCCTTTGCACTTCTCTGTGAATAAGGATCTGAAACTGAGTTGGGGTGAGGAGGGATTGGTTTCCTCCCAGGAAAATATGTAACATCAGAGAGTTAAAAAAATGAGGGGGATGGCTGGAATTTTCAAGTATTATTCATTTTTTTCATTTTGCATGAGTGAGGATAAGATGACTTTGTTACTACAAGATCTGTAATAAATCAGAGTGGGACAGATTTTTGCTTATTGTTCTAATCCTTGTCAAGTTGTCAAGAAGACATCCTGGAATGGTTTCAAAATGCTTTTCAGGGGTCAGAGAAAGTGCAGAAATAGCCTTAGCTCTTAAGTGCAGATGGGGAGGTGGATAGCATTCTGGAATAGCTCTCTGTGGTCCCTGTGCAGGAAGTGGTCTGGTGTCTTTTCCTAAAGTTCAGCCCAAATTGCTATTTTGGGGGTGGGGGTGGACCTCACCTCTGTTGTTCCCCACAACAGTACGTCTGAGTTCCTCTCAGTGAGACCCATACAGTAGATTAAGAGAGCTTTTATGGCAGAAGGTAACATCTTCATTTGCCTCTCTCCCTTCTTGACATCTCTGCAGGAGCTGTGTTCCTAGCGCCTACCCAAATGGGCTATCCGGCTGCCTATCCCAATTTCCCAGGCATAGCACCACCTACTGGCATGTTGGCACCACCAGTGGGGGTGATGGCGCAGCCAGGAGCGGCCGCAGGCATGGCAGCACCTATGGCGATCCCAGCAGGTTATGTAGGCGGCATGCAGACTGCTATAATTGGGGTCCCCAATGGGATGATGGCAACGCAGCAAGCAGGGTACATGCCTGGCATGGCACCTGTGCCACCACCAATGTATGTTGTACCACCAGCTCACCAATTACAGTGGAACCTTGCTCAGGTAAGAATCAACAGTGAGAACTCAGGTGTGTGTTTGAGTGAGATCTCTTTCAGACCTTGGGGCAAAGGAAAATGTGCATTTACAGATTACAGGCAGACAATCTCATGCCTTCCAACTCCACCTGGCTGGGCAATGAACTTGAGGATATGAGGTAGCGATATACTGAAAAAACATTGGTATCAAGTTGCTAGTCCTAATGTGCAAGTTTCTACTCCATCCTTTTTCTCAAAGAGTTTGATCTGATACCGTGTGTCCCCGAAAATAGGCCAGGGTCTTGTTTTCTTTTGACCCCCCCCAAAATAAGCGCTTGGCCTTATTTTCGGGGAGGTCTTATTATTTTTGAGATACAGGAGTCAGAGAGGGTGGTCACCTCATGGCTGCTGCTGTGTTGCAATATTTTTGGGGAGAGCTTATTTTAGAGCATGCCCTCAAAGCCCAATTGGGCTTATTATCTTATTATTGTATTTTCAGGAAAATACAATTGTCACAATAAGTGACGGTAATAAATATGGTAGATACTGAATGAACAGCAACAATCATAAAACTCTTTCCAAAATTCTTTATAAGCCACTTTGAGACTCTGGTGAATATTTTCTGAATTCCTATCGTGTTTATATTCTCGGCATATCAGCAGTTTTTCATGATGAAGCCCATAAATTAACTGAAATAATGGAAGTAGAAAAATATAGTGTCCTTCCCTTTCAGAAATCTCCCTGTAGAGGATAATATGCAGATGGGCTTAATTTTAACATGATGCCTATAGGTACCAGTATTTCCACAGCCCTCTTCTCTGATGTCCTCTAAATTCCACATCCTTAGAGCTACTTTCTTTAGTGGCAACCACAGCACATAAAACCTGCATTGCTGCTATGGCTTCGTAAGCTTCCAGAATGATTGAGTCAGCTGGAAAATTCATTGTTACCTACAGTACAGCAAGTTCCTGAGTTAAGAGAAGCCCAATTCAAGGATGGTCCAGAGAGCCTATTGTAGCAAAATTCCAATTAAATACACAGCAATTCAAGTTAAATACACAATGGTTTAAGTTCATCACACCAATTTATTTCATTACACAATATCACTTACACAGTATTATATAATGATACTGTTGTGGCTTGCATATGGATTGGATTCAAGGACAGACCTTATAAATGAAACTCATTCTTTAATCATCCATACATATATATATATATATATATATATATATATATATATATATATATATA